AAAAAAAAAAAAAAAAAAAAAAAAAAAAGAAATTTTTTAAATGGGTGGGAACATAGCTCAGTGTGAAGGTCTTAGGCTCAATCCCCAGTCCTGTGTCGGGGGTTGGGAGGAGGGATTCCTACTCCCACTACCTGACAAACATGTAAGACCTGCTCTAATGTCTGGGTCATCTTCCTTCATTATCAACCAAAGCAATAAGATAGAAACAGCCTATCATAAAGAAGATGTTCACAAGATGGCAAAAGCCTAGCAACCTCGGGGAACTTTTAAAGGCATCTGCAAGCACCACAGTGCTTTCCAAAAAAGTGACCATCAGCTGTTCTTTCTGGGAGGAATCCGACTGAGCCAGAAGTGACTTTTTATTCACCCTGTTTCAACTCTTACTCAAATTTCCCAAGACCGTGATGAGTCACAATGGGACAGGGTGTGAACCTGCACATACTGCAGCCAAACATTATTTTCGTCTTACGTTTATATATTTGAGAAAAGGGGAAGGGAGAGACAAATGGCTCCAATGCTCCTGTCCACAGTGCAGATTTTCTTCCAGATGCCCAAAGAACACATTGTAGAACTGAATGAAGGGCTTGCTGATATATTCGATGTCGGACCAAAACGTGGGTTTCGGTTCACTATAACTGCTTTACTGTCACAAGTGTCTGTGTATGTATAAAATGTCTTCTGGGAATTTACTACACAATCAGCTACACTCAGTGAAAAGAAATGGTATGAGATATGGTGAAATGAATTCAACATCTACTAAAAAATAATAAATGTAAACCAGCATTTGTGAAAACACAGACTCTGATAATTATCCTAGCATCGATGAGAATAAAAATAAAGACTCTGCAAGGACATTCATATGATCATTCATAACTTCTGAGATACGGGTGAGATATAATTTAGCATTCTACAGAAATATAACCAGGGTCTGTACAAGGAGGATCCATTTCTTCACTGGTAACAATGTGAAGATTTGAGCTGGCTGCATGCCTGCTTTCACATTTCTACCCAATATACATTCAAGTGTAATTTTAATTGAAACTGATCTTCCATTTCAGATTTTAAATTAATTCTTCTTGGGCGTGCATCATGCGCCAGACACACTTGCCTTGCAAACCCCCCACGTCATTAGTGGAGGAAATAGAACGCTTTTTCCAAGCTTGCAGGTATCGATTACCTATTCTCACTTCGAAGCACTGTTGCCACTCCACCCTGTATAAATCTCTCTGGTGTTCAGACACTTTATAAAGCACTCGGAATTATATCATTAATCATTTGAAGTTGCACAGAGTTTCATGGTATCGAATGCTCTGTTTTTCAGAACTTTGAATAAATGCTTCTAAGTAAAACACATGACACTAAATAAGGACTGTGGTCAATCTAAACCGAGCTCGGAGAAAGACAAAAGAGAACAGGAGGCTTTCCTCTTTGGGTATGACATGAGCCATGTGAGATAAGAAAGAAAAGCCGCTTGCACTGAGTTTCCTCTGACACTTCCTCCTCAGCCTCACGCCTAGGGAACAGCTCACCGACTCTGACGTCACAGCTCACACATGAGAAGACTCTCTCAACAGGAAAAGGGAAGGCAGCGGAAACCACAGGCTTCATTTAAGAGGCCTGCAGAAATGAGGATCATCTAAAAACAGTGCTCTCATTCAATCTGAGAGGAAAAATTGTTTTTCTTTTTAATTAATGCAATACATACGCTTGAAACCGCAGGCTAAAGTTTAGATCTCACTGCAAATGTCCCTTTGTCAGGATGTCCAGGGCCTGTGCTGTCCCAGCTCTGGCTTCGTGGTCTCTGAATTCTCACCATCACTATTATAATTTATTGTTTACTCCTAAGTCTCTGCCTTCCCCAAAGGTGGTTAACTCTGAGAAGAGGATCTTTACATGTCTTGTTTTACACAGGATTCTCCATGTAGTGAGTCCTTAAGACACATCTTTTGGTGCAAATAAATTGGAGGTGAAATTAAAGAGAGACAGAATTCGTTCTTCTAATGATACTACAGCATGTTCTCTGTCATGACTTGGTTTTAATTGTGCAAAACTGTGTGCAGGCTCTTTACTATTGCTTCTTCACTTCCTTGGTCTCGAGAGCTAGGATGCCAATTTCAGAAGCAAATACTCCTTTCCTCCATTAATTCATCAAATTGGTCTCAACTGGGACACGGCAAGTTACGGTGCAATCACAGGACGCGCATAAAAGCAACTGTGCACGAACTGAGGGAGGCTGGCGAAGGGAGCCCTTGGCACTCCAAGGCAAGGTGCGACAGAACTTTACTTTCCGTGACTTGAGTGGAGCACAATCATGTTTTAGACCTGTCTTATACTTTGCATGCTTTCACAGACCGATCAAAGAAGGGGAATTAATCAGTCCATGATCGCATTACTTTACACTTGATCTTAGCCAAAAGGCCGAGAAGCGATGACTGCATTAATTTAAATACTGGCTCAGCGTTTGCTCAGTACCAACCACAGAGCTGAGAAATGGATGCTAGGGAGCTGGGCCGTCCCAAACCAAGCTGCCTGCAGCAAAGCAAAGTTGGGGGATGAGACAAGATAGTCCTTGGTAAGTACTTACAAATGAATCACACGATAAAAGCTTTTTAAGTGCCAGCTGCTATGATTACTATCTTTGTCGATGGGCTATAAAACATGCAGTAGGCACGCAGATCAACCACAACGTGCATGGTCAGAGAAGAGGCCCTCAGACCTTCCAGGACAGGACTTGCAGGGGGGCCAACCGTGTGGCATCACTTCCTGAGGTAAAGAGTTTATTGGGCAGGTTTTCCCTATTTGGGCAAAGAGGAGAAATTTAATTAAAAAAAAAAAAAAAGATGACTCCCCTGAGAAATGGGGTTTAACCCCACCACTGGCTGGATTTAGTGGCCTGCTTGCAAAAATTACATAGAGAAAGATAACCAGAACTTCAGGTGGAGAAGACTCCAGAATGGCAGTGTCTTCACACAGTGGAAGAGTTTGTAGAATGGCAAGGAAGACAGACAAACGCCACCTAAACCCAGTGAAGAAGGGCAGCAGCATGGCGATGTAAAGCTCCCAGGGCATCCAGACGGGAGGTGGTGAGAAGGGCACCACCCCTCTGGTGCTCTTTCCAAAAATCCACCAGACAAATTCACATTGAGGACTGTTCCATGCGTAGTACCCTTCAAGTACAGAAAAGCTACAGATAAACAAGGAAATGTTAAAACCCTGATAAAGACCAGAGAAGATGAAGAAGGAGTCACGAGAATCAGCACAATGTGTCCTTCTAAACCGACTGGTGGACACGAAAGTGGGAATTAATGGGAAAATTCATTAGTTCTGATTTCAGTCAATAGTCACTGGTTTCCTATTGGATCTGGGTCAATATGTCTTCCTTTTGAGATCAGTCTGAAAACAAAAGGAAGAATATTCATGGAAACTGCACGGAAGCTGAATGAAATCTAAGTTTGGTTAGTGGGTGGTTTTAATATCCAGACTTGATTGGATTTGCTGGCAAACGTGCAGGAGTGGGTCCACGGTGCAGGAGATGAGGAAGACGAGGCTGATTTCTAGGCCACGGAGGGAGGGCATGGATGGGGCTAAAGGGAAAAGAGCAGGCTTGCAGGCGATGCTTTCATTACTAACGGTTGTATAAAACCGACAAT